CAACCGTTGCCTCGAACCTGGAATGTAGATAATCTTAAGAAATATTTCTTTTGAATGATGTAAATAGTCGAGGGCTATTTAATAAAAGTTTGATGTTTCATTCAATTCTGTACTAAGAGGGGCATGCCTACTGACAAACAGTCGGCTACTCTCCATGTTTAATTTTCATTTTTTACCTAAGAGGGGCATGCCTACTGACAAACAGTCGGCTACTCTCCATGTTTAATTTTCATTTTTACCTAAGAGGGGCATACCTACTGACAAACAGTCGGCTACTCTCCATGTTTAATTTTTACTTAAGAGGGGCACGCCGCTTGTTCCACAAAACCGGTTACTCTCCCAGAACATAGTTCACCAAGAACTATCAAAGGCTCATGGCTAAAATGATCAGACCAGGCGCCAAGCCAACTGATCCAAATATAAATTCAATTCGACCTGTCCCAACATTATAGCAGGCGTCCGACGGCATCCATCCGGATGAAATTCGTCGCAGAGAGCAGCTCCCTTTTGGGTGGAACATTTTTCTATAAAATCATTACACGGCACCTATACGACTGTCTAACCAAGACAACCATGTAGCCGTTTTCCCGGACAAGGATACCTCTCACTTAACTGACTAATCAGGTCAAACAAGTGTTCGCAGTAACCATCTGTGTCAACCGACCGACTGAACTACTTGGGATAAGAACCATTGGTATCTTATGAGTTAATAGCCAACAAACATTGGCGAATAAAGGGGAACAACCGGTACCCACCGCTTGATACCTCTACTACTCACTCACTTGGCGACTTGGTAACAATTATGTTTCCATGGTCACTCCTTAAAAAATTTAGTATGAAGCTAAAAAGGTGTTCACACAGCGCCTGTTCACACTAGATTAAAAGTGGCGGGGAACAGTCGGCCTGGACCGACTAGAGTCTCTATCTTAAAAAACAAAGGCAGGTTGGAAACCACCTTCCTACTTGGTTGAAGGAAATCCATTCTTTAAAGTGGCCGACTGATCGCTTAGCCTGGAAACAGACAACCAGTCGTCCAGGGGCATAGGTGGCGTAACTAACTATCTCGTACCTGTCCGCAACTATCGGCCATGCAAAACAGTCGGTATAGTGTGCAATTGGATATCAGAATATTCGATACTTAAACAAATTTGAAACAAAACAAAAATGAAATATTTTGGCATAAAAAGAAGCCGGTCATTAAAGACCGGCCAAATATTCAGAATCCCGGCCCCCTGGCCAGGTAAATAGAAACAAACGGCACGCAGGCCGTGAAAAGAAGACATAAAGCTTAAGAAGGGGGCAGATCTTCAATATTAGCAGCTGCCGCCTGGTCAGCACTCTTTTTGCTGGACTCGCCTTCAGCTGCATCCTTCTTCGATGCATTACCCCCAAGCGGCACAAGCGCCACTACCGGCTCCTCCTCCTCCAACGTCTCGTCCTCAGCAGCCGCCAGGATCTCTTGATTATATCTATCAGAACACTGGCGGTACGTTTTTTCCCAGGAGGAATAGTCGGCATTGGGGAAGAGGCGGCCCCAGGTCATGCGCTGGATTTGAGCAGAGTCTTCCATCATCTCCCGGACCAGCTCTTTCTTTTCTTGCTCGGCCTTTTCCGAGAGCTCCTGAGTAAGATTATTCTCCTGGGTCACCAGGCGTTCCTTTACGTGCGCCAAGGATTTCTCCAAGGTGTCGTATGAGGACATTTTTTGGCGAAGAGGTCTCAGCTCGGCCTTGAGATTGTTGATGGTCGCCTCCAGCTCGCTATTTTTCTTCTGGGCCGCCTCTAACTGAGCCCGGATGGCAGAAGTAGCCTGCGCCTGATAATAAAGAATGTCAATTGTCAGAACTTCATTTTGGGCAATTTGAAATATTGCCTTATCACAGTCAGAGGCGGCCATAGCTTTTGCAGCCTTTACCTCTTTGTTCTTCCTGTCAAGCGGCTTGCGGAGGCCGTTCACTCGGAGCAGGGCCTAAGTAAAAAGGGAACAGGCGTCAGTTTCCAAATAAAAAACAGGCGTCCTGGAATTCAAATAACCAAAAATATGCTAAGTATACCTCAGCAAGGACCCCTGCAATCCCGTCTAGGTCAAGGGTGCCGACACCCCTGACCGCCTCCCTTTCAGCTGGAGGAACGACCTTGATCATAGACTTGGCCACCTCGACCAAGTCAGGCTCCTGAGGGCCGGCTGCATCAACCATAAGAAAACGAGTTAGACCTAGTAAAGAAGGGAGCAAGTCTAAATTCACACAGACAGCTTCATACTTCTAGGCGGCCCAATTGGAGTTTTAGAAGGAGTGGCCGGCTGTTTCTCAGCCGCCGGCTGTTTCTCAGCCGCCGCATGTTTCCTGGCAGAACCAGGAGAGCTCGCAACAGTCGTCCTCCGGGTCTTGGAGTCCGGCTGTTGGGAAGAAGAAGCTCTTGGAGCACCCGTCTGAAAAAAAAAAAACAAACAAAAAAAAAAAAACAACATTCGGTCAGTATATGCATAAACCCAACTCCAAAAAGAGAGTGAAAGGTTCGAAGCTCACCAAGGGCGCCCCCTTGTTGGGGGAGTCGGTTGAGGACTGTTGCATGATGGAGGCCCGCAACATGGCCGCCGCAGTCTTGGAGGCGGTAATTTTGCTCATGGCGTCCGCTGCAAAAACAAATAGCAAAGTTAATAAAAAGTCATAACAGTAATGCATGGAAAAACAGAGTATTCGACAGGCCGGCTACTTCTTGAGCACCGACTGCTGAGGCCACAGGCGGCCAAAAAGTACTCGTCGTAGAGCCATTTGAAGCTCGGGACGCAGTGCAGGGGTACTTGCTCTCGTACCCCTGAAGTAGAGTCGACCCTCGACTCTACTTTAAAGAGTCCTTTATCCAGGATCTCTTTCTTAGCTTTGGGGGGAACAGGCGGCATGCTGCGGCCGCCTGCAAGAAGAGGCGGATTCCTGTTCCACCTGTTGAAGCGCTTGTTCAACTCTGTGTCTGAACTCTCAATGATAAGGAAGGTGCTTCGCCAGTCCTTCCACTTGTTTGCTTTACCTCTTGTCATGAGGTAGCCTCTGTGGCTTGTCAATTGATACCAGCCGGTACCGCCTGCTTTAGGGGTCCGGCTGAGGTAGTTCATGTGGGCGAAAGCCTCGAAGTTTGGCTCCACCCCGTGCAGTTCGCACCCGGCCACATAGCCGAGTACGTTGACCCAGGAGTTCGGGGCTAACTTCCATCACCCCAACTCATACCCATCCAAGATCCGCTGAACAGCCGGATGTAGTGGGAAGCGCAGCCCAGCCTTGATGGCCGCCTCGTAGCAGCCAAAGCAGGCGCCATCATAGCTAGTACCAACCGGCCAGACGACTGTGTCTTCTGGATCCGGCACGAACACTAAAAATCCGGGGCCCATTGTGTGGTTCGCAATAAAGCTCCCCACTTTCTCTTGCATGGCCGTGATCCGGCCCCGTGGGACAGTGCAGTAGTAGGGGGTATTTTGCTCTCGGTAAGAGGCGGATGGCTCCGCCCAATTGTCCCCCTTCTCAACTGCGTGAGAAAGCCTCGCCTCTTGTAGGCGACTGTTTTTCTCTTCTGTGTCCAGAGAAGCATGGCCAGAAGAGCTAGACTCGGATTCGTCCTCTGACGAGTCCGAAGAGGACGACTCCTCCCCTCTCCCAGAGGGGCCCGCCTCCTCTCCTTTAAAAGGAGCAGGAGAGAATGTAGACTTGTCAACTGTAAAATTGGAAGGGGTCACTTTGACTCCTCCCTCAGAACTGTCGGCTTTCAAGCCGCTTTGGTTCACTTCCACATCTGGCGCCTGGTCAGATGTTTCACTAATCGGCACCCTGTGGGAGGAGCCGTCTGAGTTCGAAATTCTAGCAGTTCTTTTCGTTCTGGCCATCATGTTCTGCATAGACACAGAGATAGTCGGACTTTGTATAAAGGGCAAAGATGGGTCCGGAAAAGGGCAGGCGGCACTCCTAGTCCTAGATTCAGCCGTCCCCGGTGACCGGCTGATCACTAACCTAGGTCGTGTCGTGTGCTTCCGTGGTGCCATTTCAAAAAAGAATAAAATAAAGAGAAAATTAAGAGTAAGAGAACCGACGGTTACCTGAACGAGTGACGTTGATGGAGATCTGAAAATCCTTTGCAGTCGGCTTGTCAGAGCAGGCGGTAGGCAGAAAGGGTCCAAAATGCCAGAGCAAGTTCAGGGGTCCGAATGTTCTCTCAAAAAGTTCTCAAGTGTGAAAATGACTGAAGTCAACACTCCCTTATATAGGCGAAGTGAAAAGGCGAAGGGTCACTTCCAGAATTCACAATTTGGGCGGGATATTCTCTCGGCCTTTCGCCGAGTGACACCTGTAGCAGGTCGTCGCCTGTTACAGTGCGACACCTGTCACAGGTAACACGTGACCAGTCACGTGCCACCTGTGAGGGGCAAATGATTAGGGGATTTTGCTCCCACCAATCGGAATGCGTCACGTGGGCCAATCAAGTCCTGCCAAGTGTCCCCCAGTTGGAACTATCAGGGCTTTCCACGTGGCACACGCTTATTCGTCCACCCTGGACCTATTATGTCATGACACGTGGCATACTCCATGCCTAATGGAGAAACCGGCCACCCAGGCCCAACTTCCGAGGGAAGCCCAATCAGCCCTAGGTTAACCTAAACCTAGGATTGGCACGTTTCCCAAGGTTATAAATACCTCCCTTAATCCTCATTAAAGGAGATTACGCACATTAAACACTCTCACCTAGAGAGACCCAATCACTTTAATTTCCACATTAATTACTCCTTAATCAAGTGCTAACTTGACCGTCGGAGGCGGATCTCCAATCATCCGGAGCATCCGTTTGTTTTGCAGGTACAGGCGTCCGGTTCCAGTCTCGGAATTGTAACTCTCCCGCAGGACATCAGAAAACCCCGAAACAATAACCATTGGAAAAATTGTATGTTTGCATGTGCTTTCATAGGCAATGAAAAAACAGAGTCGTTTGTGTGGTTGCTTGAAACCTTTAAAAAATCTATGGAGAATAGAATTCCAACCTCCATATTCACTAACCAAGACCAAGCTATGGCTACTGCAATTGAGCAGGTACTTCTTTTTCTATTACAATATCATATTCACTGATTCCACTCTCATTTTAAGTCATTTTTGTGTTCATAACTTTTATGAATATAAGTATCACTTTTGTGAGTATAAATGTTACTTTTGTGAGTAAAAATATCACTGTTGTGAGAATAAGTGTTCAAGTTTAGTGACATCACATTCTGAATGCAGGTATTGCCAGACATAAGGCATAGGCTATGCATATGGCACTTAGAACAAAATGAAATAACACGATTTGGAGCCCTTAAAAGGGATAATGAGTTCAAAAAAATATTCAACAAATGCTTGAAGGGATGTGTGACAGAAACATAATTTGAAGAAAGATGGAAAGAAATGATATAAAAATTTGATTTGGTTAATCATGCATGGTACCAAAGGGTGTACAATCTAAAGGAAAAGTGTTGTCCAGCATTTAGTAAAGAATTCTTCTCGGCAGGAATTCTTTCATCACAAAGAAGTGAAAGTACGAACCATGTAGTAGGATTCAGAGCTAATAAATCAACAACACTGACAAAATTCTATAGAATCTTTGTAAGAACCATAAAAAGATGGAGAAGTGATGAGAAGTATAATGAGTTTACCTGTAGCAAATCAATAGCCTTTACTTCATTGCCACTATCCAGAATGCTAAAGCATGCTGCTCAGGTAATTCTATATTCCTTTTGTTACATATATCTAAGAACTGAAAACAAACAATATAAGCAAATATAAAAATGATACATGCAAAGGAACATGACTGATAGTAAGCTAATTTATTTCTCTAATGTACAGGTTTACACATTGTCTCTATTTAGAGACTTTGAAGAGGAATTTGGCTACTCAATGGCGACCACAGTACAAATTCTAGGGAGAACTGAAGAAAACATTATTCTTTATGAAGTATCGCTAGAAGAAAAGCCATGGTCTTCCCAACAGGTAAGTTACATACATGAGAGCCAAACTATATGGTGCACTTGCAAGAATTTCGAAGCTTCTGGTTGGCTATGCTGTCACTGCCTCAGAATTTTACATCTACATTCTATTACAAGAATTCCAGAGAAGTACATTAGCAAAAGATGGACAAAGCTTGCAAAAACTGAAGTATGGAATAGAATGGAAAATAAGAATCCAAAACTCCCATATACACCATGGAGACATACAATGATGAGAAAATATTATAACTTAATCTTAAAGAGTCAAGAAAATGAAAAGGCAAGAGCATTCATGGAGGAAAACTTCAAAAACTGTATGAAGATGGTGGAAGACTTACTTGCGGCCGAAGCTTTTACAGAGGAGGTTGCTGCAAGTGATGACAATTCTAATGTGGCAGAGAGTGCTCAGAGTACCAATAATACTGCTTCTTCATCAACAAGTACAACCATACCCACTATATTAGACCCTAAGAGAGCTGTAACAAAGGGAAGAAGCAAGAGAGCAAAAGGAGCACTTGAAAAAGGGAAGAAATCAAAGAAAAAAGCATTACTAGATCCAAATTCAGAGTTTGGATCGAAGACACCTACTGTGCGACTTTTTTGAACTTGTAGTGAGTTTGGATGAAACACAATTGAATACTTTTTTGTAGTGATTTTATTTTTGTTTAATGCTACTGTTGACTTTCATACAAAATTTTGAATTGTGATATGGAATTGCTCATGAATTATGAACATTTATATAATATTACACTAATACTTAAAAAAGTAATGCATATACTGGCAAAAGTGATGCATATACTGGCAAAAGTGATGAATTTACTAACAAAAGTGACACTAACACTTACAAAAGTGATGCATTTACAGAAAAGTAACACTAATACTCGCAAAAGTAACAATAATGCTCACAAAAGTGATGCATCTTCTCACAAAAGTGTTACTTTTTACTCACAAAAGTATTGCATATTCACAAAAGAAATATGTCACTCACAAAAGTGATATTTATATTCACAAAAGTGACAATAATTATCACAAAAGTGTCCGTTTTTAAAATTAATAACATGGTAATATATATGTTAAACTTCAAGTTTTCATTTAAATCAACTATATCTATGTATGATGATATATGATACACTTATAAAATTATAATCAGAAATATAAATAAATAAAAATAAGAACAACAGATTACCAATATTTAATCATATATATATATATAAAATAAAATTTGTACAAACATTTTGAAAATATTAACACTAGTTTAAGTGTCGATATTTATCACTAGTTTCAACTTCCAAAAGTACTTAACTAATTACAACTTCCAAAAGTACTTAACTAATAACAACATCCAAAATTAGCTAAGATTTACAAGGAGTGTACTTCCGTGTAGCCTTTGTAGTTCGTTTTGATTTCGGAGCAGTGTCAACAGTAGGAGGAGCAGTTTCAGATTTCTTCTTTTTCTTCTCCGCTGCTGCAGCCTTCCTCCTTCCTTCAATTTCAGCAACATATGCAAGATCGCTCTTCTTCTCATTAAATTTTTCAACTTCTGCTATGACATCAGATCTTCATTCGTTCATGTCAGACAACACGAGTTTTGGACAAATCTTAGCACGTAAAAATTTCCTCCCAGCAGCCTCACAAAACATTAGAATAAACATAACAAATGAATTAATTCGGATCAGTTTCAAGATCACTCACTGTTCTAAGTTCATCTACAGAAAATGATGTATCACCAACAAAATGCTCCATATGACACATCATATACACACCACAGTCATTATTATCAACCTTACTCTTCCGCCACACTAAATCAGCAATTTTAAATTGTAAAAAGGGACTTTTTCACTCTTTGGATGATTTCTTCGTGCAAGAAAATCACCAAATTCAGAACACTAAAAAAAAAACAGAATATTAAAAATAACAAAAAAATAAGATTAATATAGAAACATACTTTAAAATAGACAATAACATACCAGATAAAAAGTCAAATTTTGAAAATATGTAATCATGTCATGACTCCAAATGATATTATCAACATAATGAACCAATTCATTGCCATGATCAATCACAAACATCACATAATGTTCATCAACAAGAATAGGAAAATAAACCTGAACAAAAATAGAACAAAAGTTAGCATAAAGCACATCCATCACACAGTTAATATATATTAAAAATTAAGATATATACCAAGTCTGCACCAATAACATCACAACAAGAATTTTCATATGTAACCCATTCATCCCAAATTTCATGCAAATCCGAGACAGCAGAACTAGCAGAACTATCTTCGTTCCCCTCTGATACTTGCAAAAAAGCAAACTAAAAGGAAAAAATAAATAATTGAAAAGAGTAAGAAAACAAATAACTCAAAACAGAAAGTTGCTTACACTTTGCCTCGCACCAAAAAAGAATCTTTTAGGACCACAAGTATCATAAAAACATGATTCATTTAGATAAATGCAGTAGCAATCAACTACTGACCAACGAACCAAATTAGGATGCACCAAAGACACCATATCCTCTCTTGGAATAAGAAAATGCAATCCATAAGTAACAAGATTCTCACTGCAAAGTCAAACAATATTATTAATATCAAAACAAAAAGAAAAAGAAAAAAAAAAGGTTTCAAAAAATATAACAATTAAAAAAGAACTTACTTATTTTTAAATAAGTGTTCCACCAGACAATAATCAAGAGCTTCTAAATATAATCGAGGTAATTTTTCACTAAAAGCACGAGAATTACTTTTCATAAATGGCGTAACAAACACTACACTCTGACCACCAATTTCACCACAGTCCAAAGAACACAAACTTTTATTCGTTCTTCTGACCGAACCACCTCTGTCACCACCATCTCCACCACCATCTCCACCACCTCCACCATCTCCACCATCTTGTAGGGTAGACTTTGATGAAGTACTTGCATCAACTTTAAGTAACTCATCCACTGACTTCATTTTTATAAACTCATCAATTAAGCCATCAATAAGCTTATGATAATGCGGGTTAGACAAAAGCTGTTGTGTTTGAGACAACTCAATAGAATCAGCATCCAAAGAAACAGAATGTTCAACAAAACGACTATGCACCAACCGTTGCAAAGCACTAAAACAATTGGAATTCACAGATGAAAATAGCTCCATGTTCCTTTTCATATAAAGAAACGCCTCATGCAAATCCTACACATTAACAAACAATTATATGAGACCAAGAACAAATGTTTTATTAAAGAAAAAAAAAACATACATCAGTTGCAGCACTTTTGATCTCAGAATCAGTTAATACTCCTTCAGGCAAATCGAAAGTCACACATCTTCTATCATCATCAATAGGAACCGAACAACCTTCACCCTTACTTAAGTTGTTAACATTCAAATCAACACACTTAGCAGAAACTGGATAAGTCAATTCATTCAAAACCCCCTGACCAAATCCACCAGCCTTCAACTCCAAGGACACCCTGTTCCTCACTTTTTTATCTGTCCAGTGTTGGATAAGAGGAATAGTGGAGTTCTCTACTACACCTTGGAAATTCAAACGATGAAAATACATAATCTTAAGCAACAACAAACATCCACTAATACTATCTTTAGCCTCAGAATTTTTGTAACTAACAACAGAATTCATCAACTTTCTCAAAACAAATGAACACCAATCAAGATTTTTAATCTGATCAACATCATCCACATCATTAACTAACCTAAAATTAACAGTCCTATTAGCGGTAGGAACAAGCATACTACTAAGAGCATGCATAACAAATAACCTCTTAAATTCATCACCTCCATCCACCAACTCCTTGATCCTAGTTTCTAATCTAGCCAAAGGTATCAACTCCTTAACACCAACATCAAAAGAAGCTCTCCATTTATTTTTTAATGCACTATCATCTTGAGATTGACCTTTGTAACTACCCTTCATTTCAGGAACCTCGCGACCTTCTACCTTAGGCAAACCAAAAACATCACACACATCATGCTTAGTCACAACAAACTCCTTACCATCAGCTACACAAAACATACAAGTATATCCATTAAAACTCTCAACAAGCCAAGGAAGTATACCTCCAACCATACTCTCCACATGTAAAGACAACAAACCACCAAATCCAACCTCTTCTACATCTTTTTTTTGAGTCGGAGAAAGCCCACTTATAACCTTAACTAATGAAGAAGGTCTACAACGACATGTAATTTTCCTATCAGGCCTGAAAAAACAAAAAAAAGATGCTTACCACTTATAACATACTTATATACTGAAATTTTAGTTATCATATAAAATTAAACATGAATTATGAACATTTATACAAATTTTTATACTTATTCTCACAAAAGTGACAATCATAATCACAAAAAATGATACTCATGAGAGTCATGACACTCATTACATGAATATAATATTCAAAAAAGTGATTATATCAAAATTTTCACAAAATGATACTTGCACTCACAAAAGTGACATTGATAAATACAAAAGTGAAAGATATACTCACAAAAGTAACACTTAATATATTGACACAAAAATCACATAAAAAACAGTCCTATTAATCAAAGTTACCTATATTCTTACAAAAGTCACAATTCCATTCACAAAAGTATAGCAAATATACAATATTCTAAAACATAAAATCTTACTCGTCATCCTCTTTTTCTTGCCTCTTCTTTTTATTTCCCTTGGATGTACTTCCTTCACCTTTCAACATCTTTTTTCTTCCTGCATCCATTTTATTTACCGCTTTTTGAGCTCTACTATAACGAAAACCTTTGATAGATCCTACCAATTAATTTTAAAAAAAAACATCACAATAGAAATTTTGACAAAATTTGACAAGATTGTACCAAGCAACACAAAAAGATAAACATATCCACCATGTTTGCCACACTAAAATCAAATGCAGCATTTAATTTATATATATTAAACTGTAAACGAAAATAGTAGAAAAATACCTAAAATTCATACACAAAATGCTTTCATCAATTTGATTGTACTACTATGAACATGCAATTTTTCATTTAGACATTTTTACAAACACCTAGCAAGCAATTCTCAAAATAAACCTAATCTAAGCAAAAGCAACTGATTAAAACGCACAACTAAACAAACATAGCACAAATTGTACAAAAAACAAAAAAAAAATTGCGAAAATGAGAACAAACACTAACCTACAGCAACATTATCATCACCAGAAACCTTCTTCTTCACCATTGCAAAAACTACAAAAATCCAAAACAACGAAACCCTAAAAATCGAAACACTTCAAAATTGAATAAAATGAAATAAAATTGAGAAAACAAACCTGAAATTAGCAACAATCAACTTCAAAGTGAAAAAATTAAAGATCGAAAAGAGAGAAATTCAAGTAGCAACGCCAAAAGCAAGAGAAGAAGAGAACGAGAGGAGAGAGAAAAAAAAACCAGAGAAAGAGAAACAGGAAAGAGAAGAAGAAAGAGAAAATAAGAAATTTTTTGGTTCTTTAAATTTACACGTATGAGCCCAAATTGAGCAGCCCAATTTGCACTTGTTTGCTGTGATTTTCAGTAAGTTAGTGAAAACCCGCTTTTATTAAAAGTTTGTCTAAACAATCCCCAAGTAATTTTACACCTAGTGCTTTTATCTATTTGTTATGTGTTGGTTGATATTTTACATCGTTTCCTTTTTTAACTCCCTTCAAAATCTACTTGTTTCCTAATGATAATAATATACTTTTCTACCAAGTAATGAAGTAATAAAATATGTTATTAATTAACACATTGTTTCTTAATTTAACCAAAAGTGTTATAAGATAAATAAATAAAGCTCCTTGTTCATCAAGCACTTCACATACCCCTTTCGTTCTATATACATGTACGTATATCTCCTTCACCATTTTAATTTGTATTCTCAATTCAACCTTCAACCTCAAACCTTCAACCTCGACCTTAACCTCAACCTCAATCTCGTCGAATTCGTTTCTACAAAAATGATGGTGAAATACGAGCCCGTGTGTATGGAGTTCAGTCTAGGAAGCCATAACCTAATCAAAAACAACGATCCATACGACGAAGAAACCATAACCATGATCATCCACGTCAAAGACAGACGAGCCGGAATACCCCCGTGTCACGGTACAAACGTTCAAGACTAATGCTCACACATTCAACAATACTAAAAATCCCGAAGATATCATAGAAAGTTAGCTTAAACAAATGGAACTGCTTCCTGAATTTTATCCAAACGCCATCGATTACATCCTTAGATGTTCTTCTTTTCAAGTACCTATGGGTTGGTCACTCAATATGTCTGTCTTTCTAGAGTATTCTGATTTTTCGGGCCCTTTCGACGAATGCCATAGGAAGGAGCAACCCGTGCTAATGAAGTGTCCTATGAGAGTTTCGTATTCGGACAATGTTGAAGAGTGCCAAAAAATTGTTGTGAATATATATTGTCAAGATAGTAGAGATCGGAGACTTTTTCGGTTTTCGAGGAAGATTGTGATGTCATGTTTCCGGTGTATGGAGGGAAGAAACCATTGGAGAAGGTGCATGAGTGGTTGGAGTTGATGGGTGTTGATCCTAATTGTTATTGGTATGCTATTGATACTATTTTCGAGTTTGCTCGAATTTCGTACAAAGTTTCTTGTGGTAGGTCTCTTGAGTTGGATGTTAATCTTAGAATCTCTGATGCAAGAGGAGGTTGTCCGGTGGAGGAGGACAACGAGGCTGAGGCCGAAGCCGAAGCCGAGGAGGAGATTGATCGTGTATGGGAGCTCATGTCAACTCTCAAGAAGTTTCATCATGGTGTGTAGTAGGGAGGTGTTAGGGAACAAACATGATCGTTTGTTTTTTGTTTTACAAAATTTAAGTAGCATGTGATTGATGAATATTTGCCAAGAAATACAAGTTGTTTGTTTGTTTAAGATTATTTTTAATTCTTATGTTTTACCGATTGAATTGAGTTGCTTACATTTAGTAAGAACAATGTATAACGGAGTATTTTTACCAATGCAATGCAATCTACTTTTACTTTTGAATATTCTGTTGATATTGTTAATACTTCGCTTAGTATTAAAAATCAAAAAGTTTCATTAATAAATTATGATGTTAACTGTTAGTAGTTAGATTATTAAGCTCGTCCGATGCACAATTTATCTCGAATTCTCGATCACGATTGGTTTGGAGAGCCATCAGCAAATTGATTAGACCAATTTCTAGTCGGATAGATTCAATTTTAGTATAGGAATGGCTTTGAGTCAATAAATTTCAGTAGTTTTTTGGACACGTACGCTAGTGTGCATCTCATTAGGGCCTGCGCAGCAGCTGTACTGTGTACGGTGTACCTCAAGTGTCAGCACTTGCACAGACCTCACTTGAGGGAGCATCATAGCACAAACACTCGTATGCAATCATGATGTCCCTGCACGTTGGGGTTTTATGCAGCTGTAACCTAAAAACGTCGATCAGATGGAATACAAAGATGTAGTAGAGCCAAATAAAGCAAGAGCCCATAGTTTGTTGGAGATCTGACAAGCTAATTTTTCATTCAAGCCATAGCCATAGTATATTCAAGAAGCAGTATCTAACATTGAACTGACAAAAAAGGAAAAAAAAAAAAAAAAAAAAACACAAAAACAAAAACAACAAAAAAACAAAACAGATCAAGAACCATTGAGCTAGAGCGGAAAGTTCTGATTTTTCAAAGATACCTACACAGCAAAATCCTACTGGCTACTATAATCTCACTGCTAATCCGAAGAAAAAAAAATCTCGTACTATATCATCATATATCATCCCTTCTGTTCAACTTTTTTTCAGCAGAGTTGGAAAGGAACAACATACAACAGACTAGATTTCTTCTAAGTCCCCCAACACAACCAAACAGCGAAAAAGTTTGAGAAGTTCACAAGTATTTGCATCTGTAGACTCTGCTAAAAAAACCCCGGAGAAGGAATTTCTGCAATGGAGAGCAGTAGAGCACAGCTGTTGAACTTAAAACAGGAAGAAAAAAAAAATTGTTTATAACTTCTGTTCAAGGGTCACATCCATAATGCCAATGGCGGATTTAGGTACATAATGATCATCAGTGTCCACCTCCTCAATTTCCTGAACATAGTCAAAAGTAATTACCAAGAGGTATAAGTAACAACATTTACCAAAAGGGGAAGAAGAAAATTTGTGTCTCCTTATAAGTAGATGAACACATCAGTTGGAAGAGAATATTTACCTGGACAACCTCCTCTCCCTTAGTAACTCTTCCAAATACAGTAATTTTTTCATTTAGATCGGGAATAGGTGCTGTTGTTATATAGAGCTCAAATCCTTTGCTATCATGCTTTGACTTGGAGGTTCCAAGCATAAAAGCCTCATGCTTAACACTGCATAGAAATGACATTTTGTATATAGCTGTGCAAAAACAACAATAACGAAAAACCCACAAACACACAGTGATGGATTTAATGCGAGTATACCTTCTATCAAGCTGGCTGTAGTGTTTCCCCTTGAGGGTCCATTGTTCAGCAGGTCCAATACTGTGGATATCCCCTGCCTGTATCACATAATGCTTTATCACACGGTGAAATTGCATCCCTTTGAAATGTCCTTTCTGACTGCAAAATAAAATTCATCAGATATGACCGTAATTAACACAAATCACGCCTAGTAGTAAAAAATTCTACCCGCTACCACTTTCCCCAAACAGGAAAAAGAAAAGACAAGAAAGTGAATGTGTATGAGTGCATGCTTTCATGTGACAGTGTGTGTGTGTGTGTGGCGAGAGAGAAAAAGATTGTAAGGCCACAGTCCCATTACTCACAAAAAGCATCAGAACAAAAAAAATTAAGTCAGTGGTCTAGGCATCATAGGGGCAGACTTTGAGATCAACTTCTTGATATTGCAGACTATAAGTCTCATGTATTTAACCTCTACAGGATCGAGGCATCAAAGCAGTCAAATAAACAGAGAAGGCCAACAAAACAAATCACTTAATTTTACTCCAGACTCTAGAGTAATTACTAACTAACTGAAAGTTCTGATCTTGTACTCACCATAACTCGATAAACTCATCAACAATTTCAGGAGATCCATCCTTAAACAGTTCCACAGCAATGGCGCCTTTTGATGTTTGAATAATCTAGCATAAGACAAAGATAAATAGCTCAGTAAAAAGAAACCAAGGTTTCATGAGGCTAAAGCAAGACCAAGCTGAGGAATATAGAGGAAGAAACTTGCAAATAACCACAAGATTCTCCCTATATCCAGCAATAATAGTCACATATTCCATTTCAGGTTGTCCTGAAACTCTTGTCAAATTTCCCAAGATAGAAGTAGATAATATTAAGTGTTCTCTGAGATAGGCCCAAAAGAATCATTTTAAAGTCATGGTGGAGAAAGGATGAGAAGAAGACAGCTACTGCAATGGGAGTTTTAATAATTCATGGTGAATACTTAGTTATGAGGGTTGGAAAAATATGACTAATTATACTGGACAAGGGGAAGAATATAACAAAGGAGTATCATAACCAAAATACTTTGAGACAAGTAAGAAGAGAAATAAAAGCAACACATACCGCATATTTTGGAACATCAATATTCTTCAATTCACCAACCTATTACATAGGGGAAAAATATAGGTTAAAAGAAATGAGGCATAATTGCATAAATGACCTGATGGCTTGCTTAGTCTGCAAGAGCTGGCAACTAGTTACCAATTGAACAAAAAAAATAAACATTGATCAACACTAGTGGTGTACATAGCATAAATATACTGAATTAATACTAACATTTTTACCTTACGACTAGTATAACGTACCGGTTCATCTGGGTTCACTGACCTAGCAGAGATTATCAACAAAAGAAAAGAAAAGAAAATCCTGTCAATAACCTATTATAGCAAGAAACATCTCTCAAAATATGCACTATCCCCAAAATTATCATGAATTCTGTAAATTACAGCACATTGATGCAGTAAATTACTAAAAAGATCTCATGAAATTAATTAGATTGAAAAAAAAAAAATGCACCAATATAATACACACTTGCACTCCCCCAAGTTGATCAGCTCTAGATTGATGTTAATCAAACTGAAACCCATTAAACAGAAGCAAACTATTTCTGAAGCTTCCCAAACTTAAACTCCAAATCAGAAACTAAATTGGGAATTGCATATTCAAGCTGAAATTTCTTTCGATTGAGCCAAGATCAGAGTGAAAACTGCCCCAACAACAAACACAATTGCTCCCCCCCAATCAAAGCAACACTAAATTGAGATTTTCAACTAAAATCCACAGAAAAAGACAAATTGAGCTCAAATTCTCCAAACTTAAATCTACTTTTTCTCCCTTTGCAAACCCAAATCACCATTCTCATATACATTTTTATTGAGCAAAAACAAAAATTTGCACCAATATTCAACCAATGATCCAAATTATACAACCCAAATCAAGTTTCTTTCTATTTTCCCTCAAAATTCCAGAACCTAAAATTAACTGAAAAAGGTATAAATTCTCCAAATTACAAAAAAAAAAAAAAAAAAAAAAAAAAATATTTAGAAAAAACATAAAAATTGAAAGATACCTGTGAGAAAAATGCCTATACGCAGAGAAGATGAAGAAGACAACCATGAAAACAATCAAGCTGAACAAAATTATAGTGGTGAGACTGATCCTACTTGGCGCCTTCTTCTTCTTGCTTTGCTGTAACAAAGCTTGGGGCTTTATTCTTGCCATATTTATTTATCTACCTTAAAAATTCTTCAAACCCAGAAAATAATTAGACCAAATTAGTCAATAAATCATCAAAATTAGATAATTTACCATAATTAGGGAAGAAATCAGAGATTTGAAGACATACCCAAATCGAAAATCAGAGGAATTTTTGTGGGGTATTGGAATCTGAATAACAGATGTGATGAATCTGCCAAGAAGTTTGATGTTTCTTTCTCTCTCAAAAAAAAAGAGAAGAAGAAGAATAGTTGTGTTGAGAAGTTTCTTTCTCTACAGAAGATATTAGTTGGCGAATGAATATAAATTGATTTTGGATGTATTTGTTTGTTCTGAAATTGGAGAACTTTGGAGGGTTTGGTTGGTTTGGGTGTATTTTTCAATATTCGAAATTTCAAAAGCTAAAAGAGTATGATAGAGTATGATTATACTAGTACATTTATTCCAAGGAAAGTTTCGTTTTACATCAATGATCAATTGACCAATTGAAATTTCAGAGTTTCTTATAATTAGATTAGGGCTACAAGAAGAGTTTGACCTTGTATAACACCACATGTACTCCGTACATTAAATGTTGGGATTAAGGATTCGTTTTCTTCAACTTTCAATAATGTTTTTTAACTTTACTAAGCTTATATTTCTTCACCTTTCATAAGTACATTAGACGTTGGAATTCATTTCTTCTGATTAATCTATCAAGTTCATATTGATTCAAGGTTAAAGAGAACGCACGGTTGATTAATAATTACTTAGGTAAAAATGCTCATCCTTGGTAAAGATTGCCCATTGAAGTTCCCAATTGAAGTGTCTTTAACTATATCTTGTATGTTGATGACTAGTAATTTGTCCCGTTTTTATGTTTCAAAATATTAAACACCGTATTGTTCAAAAATAAAATGAAGACTTTAAATAAAAGATCATAACATGCTTGATTACATTACATTGCTTTAAAAAAAAAAATGTTACATTGGCTTTGTTCCAAAAAATTAATACTTTCTAATTACGTAATTGGCTCGATCTCACTTCCCTCTAGTCTATGTGTATATCTCGACCATCTCACTTGAAAGAAATTTGTTAAAATGAGAAGAAAAAATATTTCCATTCACAATTGAAATCCAGTAGCACAGCTTAAATTCTAAAGCTGAGAGCCTGGAACTCGTTGCTCAGTTGAAAGTTGCACCAGAATTAAAGCATGAAGGCAAAAATCATAGGGATTCCACGTCTTCTTCTTGTCTTTCCAATACAATGGTAGCAAGAGCAAGTCTATATGCTGTAGATCTCAAATTTCTGACCAAGACAAATATCTCCTTCCTCCTCTTTTTTGCAGGCACCCAACTCCACTGTTCATATCTAAGATGAGCAAGTAACACAGCTTCACAGAAAGCCACAGCTCCTGGTTTCTTGCTGCATGTTCATATATGTAAAAAGCTAAAAACATTGTAGATATCAAGCAAAGTCATCTAATCAACAATCTTTCCACAACAAACATAGAATAAGTTTCATATACTGTATGAAATAGGGTGAATTAGACAGCTCCTACTCAGCTTACTCTAGAGACTACAGCACACAACAAATCTGTGATTGCTAAACAAATGAAAAACTAAGCCATAACATTAAGTAGCAAAGAGAAGAAGTATGTACCTTCCTCGAACAAATCCGGAGGTAACAAAGCCTATTGGTGGCCTATAAGCTTCCCTAGCAGCAGGGTCCATGGGCATCTGGAAATCCCACTTGCCGGAAGGTAATTTTTTGAAGTATGAGCCAACAAAAGCATGAGGCACTTGGAGGCCCTCGTTACCTTCTGGTCTGTAAGATTCATATTCACACCATGAATAACAAAGGACACAAAACTAAAAGAAGAGCCAATCCATCTTGACCAATTAACATCCACTATATATAAAGCATCATTTAAGCGTGAATTTGTTGCAAGAACCTTGATGGACCACTTAAACATATTTTCAAAACAATAAACTGAAACAGAAGAATACAAGGAGATTATAAGCAAAATTCAAGGCCGAGAACAATGATTAATTACCTGGATTTTAACAATGTTATATCTGATAAACAAGGAGCACAAACAACTGCTCCCTCATCAAAAACACCTTCCTTGAAAGCATGTAAGACAACTCGGAGAAAACACAATCTCCTGTCACACGTCAAGGTGGCCAGGTTTGAGGCACTGATCTTGGCTTCTTTCATCATTAAATGTGATAAAGTCGGTCTATCTTGCCCCTTGGGGAACAACAGCAAATTATCACTAGATAATTCTTTCATGATAGAAATCAGCATTCTGGAAGTCCTAGCTACTAATACTTTAGAATAACCACCATCACTAACAAGCAAATTATCACTAAGCTTGCCAACTGGATCTGCTGAACGGGTTACATTGCTAGAACAATCCATTCCGTTACCCTCTCCAGCTCCTCTGCTTGAAGAAAACCATTTGCTGTTCCAAGGAAGTTGTATAGGAATTTCAAAAGGTCTTGTAGCAGGTGGACACTTTTCCAAAGTTTTGTCAACTGCTGAGGCCTTTATTTCCGTTGAACGAGAATATGCATTGCAATCAGGGAAATCTGACGGAAAACAAGGCAAGCCAACCTGCAAGATATAAGGCTAGAGTCATAAAACAAACGATGGAACTTCCCATCGAGAGGTAAAGTGGATCGAGATGCACATACATCACAAGCAATCCAATGCTTCTCTCTTAAACCAATGGCATGAGCACCACCAGAAACCAGCGGAATCCAGAAAGCCTTAACCCAACTAATAGGGAGTATAATAGACCATCTGAAAGAAGAGTGAAAGTGGGACATTGTTAGGTATACCAACAAAGGCAAAATAGTTTTGTCAAGCCTAAGAAAATCCAACAGTTATAGAGCTGAAAATAGAAAGCCAACTTGTACTAGAAGTGGTAGCTATGTAAGTGATCAGATACCAAGCACAATTGCCTGTTGTGAGTCAAAGTAGCAATCAAACAAACCATAACGACAAACCACACAGAAACCACATTTTAAAACAGAACATTATCCTCTATTTCAACCTAGACTAGGTTGTTAGATGAGGTGACAAGCCTATTGAGGTAATAAGAATATTTCTGGGCTTATCATGTAGTACAATCTGCAATGCCCCCCACCAAAATAGACTTATCAGTCCCTAATCATCAGATCTTCCCCTCTTCTGCACCCCAACCAATGCCCTCCACTATAATAGACTGATCTCTCCTTCTCTTCACCCCCAATCCCCCCCCCAGGCCCCAACCCACCCACCCACTCTACAAGTCTGAAGATAAGATAAACTCAAGTATGGGGATTGTACACTGTGAAGTACTATCAAAACATCGGTTACAAAAACAAACATCCAGGCAAGAGGAGATACCCAGTAAAGTGGTCTGCCTCGTTGGCATTTCTCAGTAACAGAATTGGACAAAATCTTGAGAAGTGACCGTCAGCAGAAGCAAATTTTGTTGAAGATGTATCCTTCAGGCGAAAGAAATCCAAAGACTTTTGATGCTTCTCCAAACAGAGTTTATGCTCTTCCACAGGTGGATGAATCCCATTACTGGCATCCCACAAGTCCTTGCAGTTAGATAAAGAGGCATTGCTGTCATATTTTGACTGCAGGGTAGAAAATACATCTTCCTTCATTGGCAGGTTTCCTACATAGTTTTCTTCACTTTTATCTTCCATTGAGCCAAATTGTTCATTGGCTAAATTTGCAGCTGGAGCGGCCAAAGACTTTTTGTGACATGAGGAACGTGGATCGATAACAGTAAGTAATACTGCTGCACCAGAAGAAAAACAATCTTCATTTTCAAGGTAGTTCCTAGGCTGAATTTCACATCCATTTGTATAAGCTGTTGCTAAACCAGTGTTTAACTCAAAAGAATCCTCCACCGAACTGCCAGTAACAAGGGCCATATATATTCATCAGTACTAGCAAAATCAGGTCAAAACTGAAACACCAACAGCAAATGACTTACAGAGAAATAGGATGCAATATTTTTTGTAGAAGTCGGAATGCTCGAGATCCCATGACTTCTAATTTTGCAAGTTGTCCATCAAGGGGCACACAACCAATCATATTGCCTGTTTCATTCGTCTATAAACAGCTTAAGATATCTTACAAGTCTGAGTAAAGTAAGCAATTTATATCAGAAAACCACATGAATGGAAACTTGAGAAATATTCCTAAGTCGATAAATCTGATACTTGGACGTCTAAATGTCCAATCATTCATCCCAAAATTTTCTGGGAGGAAAATCAGACATAACTCCTCATAATCACACATCAGGATCTTTTATAAGTAACAGAATTATTTTTCAAAAAAAAAAAAAGTAACAGAATATTTACTGAAGGATGAGCAAAATCAAGATTAAACAGAAAGGATATTTCTGACTGAAAATTAAAAAGTGTCGCCAGGGAGTTACCATCTTTTGACAAGCGAGTTTTAGACAATCAAGTCCTTCACGAAAAGCTGAGGGATGCATCCATATCCAAAGCTGACGTAATTGAAAACTTGATTCAGTCTCCATATTCTCATCAGCTTCCTTATCCTTTTTGGCAACATTGCTATGCTGATGCAATGGCCGCCACATAAAGGTCACAGGGCAAATGGCATCAAAACCATCCTGCCTGGCATGGTGAAGCTGCAGAGGTGACAGGCCAATCAAAACCAATATCACAATATTCTATGCTAACCTTAAGTAATTAAAGCATACCAACCATCGCACATCCATATATATCCCCAGAAAGAAAGCGTTGGCAAATGTCTTCAGAATGATCAATCATGGAGGGAACCAGTAACATGCTTAGAATCGATGACAATGCTTCCTGGAAAATTATTGTACTATTATTAGGTAGATTTGTGAATATAAAGCCTAAGCTGAAAAGGTTGGCAGTTGTATCACTCAGCGGGCAATGATTCACTTAAGATTTAGTTCATATAGAGCTATGTGGTTCAAAAAGATGTGATAGTCTGATAGAGTGATAAATATGAGCATTATTCTGCTACTACTACAAAGAGCACTAGTTACCAATGAGGCCTTGGCCTAGTGGCAAAGATTGAGGGCTTAGGTATGATAAGTCACAAGTACAAATCACCCTAACCCCATGTGTAATTTGTAATGCCCTAGCAGCTCATTTGGACACCCAAAAAAAACAAGGAGCACTATCTAAGAGTAAGAAATATTCATCTCTACTTAGCTATTCCTTTCAATTTCCCATTAGGAATCATAGTCAATAGCTGAACACTATACTAAGAACTTCATTTTGTTCATTACTCATTCAAATGACATAAATACATAGACGTTAATTATTTCAGGTCAAAAGGAAATGAGAAATGCCTGCCTCTGAACCCTCCAACTGAACAGCACTGTAGTAGCTTGCATCATGCACAACAGCCCCTT